CAGATTTTGGATTGTGCGCTTGGACATGGTGATTCAGCAATTTTTAGGCGTGCTCATTTGAAGACACTCGTTTCTATTCATAGCAAAGAGGTACATTAATTTCACAAAAAAAAAAAAAAAAAAAAAAAAAAAACTTAAGCCTATTGTCCTTTTAAAAAGTTTATTTGTTATAATTACTAATTTTATCAACATATATGATGACTGATATTGTGTTCTCTTGTGGTGCTAACATTTTAGGCTGGTAATGGCGGAGAGCTCTCCCATGTTGAAACAACAATAATAAATGGTGCTCTTGATATGACAGAAAAGGTATGTTATAACAATTTTTTTTAAATTATAAAAAAATAATAAAAAAATAAATTAAAAATCACTTTTTCCATATCTAAAGTAATGGTTAATGAATTTTTGGACTTTTTTATGAAATCTCATATGTAAATTAAATCTTATCAATGAACTATATTGTTGACGCTAATTAATTTGTACATTTTTACACTCATTTATTTATAGCATAAAATTTGTCTTATATTTGTACTCAATTCTGCATGAGATTTCTTTCTAGCATATGCATTTGTACTCAATTATTACTGATACTGTCCGTGGATGCTTTTTTGTTATTTTATATCATCTCTTATGAATATCTGCCTTAAATATCTCTTTTCTAATACACAGACTGCTGAGGAAGCAATGACACCAATTGAATCCACATTCTCATTAGATGTCAATTCAAAGTTGGACTGGTGAGTGTCGAATCTTGTGCAATATCTTTACTTTTTCAGTGTTTTGTCTATGTTTTGATGCTCAAGCTTTATTATTTCATAACTTGTTGGAAATCTTTATAATCCAAAGTTTCATAAACTAAGGTCTCATAATATATTGATTGTTTATGTAAATTATGGTTATTTTTTATCCTGTTGGAGCTTGATATTTTAGTGAGTGTTATCTCGTACTAGCATGAAACTTGATTTGGTGATCTATTTTTATTTAATTTATTTATGTGCTCTAAATATTTATTTAAACCTGTATATGTGATTAATATTTCATTAGATTCAATGCAATATACATTTTTATTACAATATATATTTTTTTTCAATTGATTGAATGAATTTTTAAGCCTAGATTTTTATGCAGTATTTGTAGTAAATAACTATTAAATTATCATTTGAACATTTTTCCTTGTGCTTTTAGTTTTCATCCAAGTAATTAGATTCTCTAAATTAAAAATTTGTCATTTATGAATTTAAATGTGAGTATGATTTTTCTTCATTGTAAATCTGCATTAACAAATTTTAGACTCTAAGACATCTTTCGTTGTTCTTTTACAGGGAAGCCTTTAGCAAAATCATAGTTCGGGGCCACAGCAGAATTCCTGTTTATGCAGGAAACCCAAGAAACATTATTGGTTTTCTACTGGTTGGTGTCAACTGTCTGCTGCTCTAAACTTCTCTTTATTGTTTTGTTCAGCAAAAAATATGCATGTGGTACATTTTTTGGGCTTTTTTAACTTTGTAAATTTCTTCTGCAGGCAAAAAGTCTTCTCGTTGTTCGTGCTGAGACAGAGACGCCAGTTAATGTTGTTTCTATAAGAAGAATTCCTAGGTTTCTCAAATTTACTTTTTTTTTCATTTTTATGATATTTATCATAAATTTTCTTATGCCTAAAATTTTTTCAGGGTCTCAGCAGATATGCCTCTATATGATATATTAAATGAGTTTCAAAAGGGAAGGAGCCATATAGCAGCTGTTGTCAAGACTAAAGTGAAAACAAAGAGTCTTCCACCCATTAAAGAGAACAAGTCTGAAGAAAATAAAGAAGCTTCTGACGAATCGAACTTGACAACTCCTTTCCTATCAAAAGAGGACGACACTTTTGTGGTGGACATAGATAAGGGTCCAGAAAAACAAGCTAAAGGTAATAACCCCACTTCGGGTCTTACATCAGAGGATATTGAAGATGGAGAGGTTATCGGCATCATCACTCTTGAGGATGTGTTTGAAGAACTCCTTCAGGTACATGCAACTCATTTCTTTTATTGTTTCAATAGTTATGAGTCGTTTGGTAAGTCTAGGATGCATTTCCATCCTTTTTTACATTATGTCTAGCAAGTGCCTTTATTAAACCACGATCATTCAAACTTCCATGAGTTGGAATGATTTCTGCTTGTATGTTAGCACTTGTTCGATATTTTTTGTGGCCTCGCCTTGCATAAATGAGTATTGCAATTTTCTGACTATATTTGGATTGTCAATACTTGCAATATTTGGGGTTTATTGCATTCTTGCTCGTGTTCAATATTGTTTCCTTGGAGAAGAACCTAAATTAAATGTGAGTTATTTGCTTTTATTACGCTCATCATGGATGTATTTGTTGTGTAGGATGAGATTGTGGATGAAACTGATGAATATGTTGACGTTCACAAAAGGTAATTGCAATTTTTTTTTTGTCTTAAGCACCATTCATCACAAATGGTAAATAATTTGAAAAGGAAAGATGTTGTAAGTTTAATGTTTTTATTTGCAGGATACGTGTGGCTGCTGTTGCGGCCTCATCTTCAGTTTCACGAGCTCATCAATTAGGAGGGTAACAAATTAAAATCAGCAGTAAGTAATATCTCATATTTTACCTTTAATGGGAGGGATTTTGCTAATGAATATGCACTAGTTACAAATTTTTAAATGTTGTTCTAGTTTTGCAATGAGAATTAAAATAATAAAAACATGTTATGTTTCTATTATAGAGATGATTTATTGAATTAATTTTTCTTTTAATTCACTTAAAGTGTGATTAGTTTATTAGTACATCTAATGCATCTTGACAAATGCATGTTTTTAGGAAACTTATTTTTCTTTTAAAACCCTTGAAGGACTTGGTACTAAAAATGTGATCTTGTTGGTCATGTCTATCTACAGGTTATTAATGATTCTACATAATGATAGAGCTTTTATTGATATGGTGATGTGGGACAAAAGTCACAAAACCAAATGGAGAGAAGTTGAGGCAGGCCACAAGAGTAGACATTAAGGACGTTTACATAAATGCAACCAAATTCTTTTGTATTTACATTTTAACATCAGCAGCCTAACGGTGGGCTTTTTGAAACATACCACCCAATTCTTGTATATATACATATCTAGCACCAAAATTTTATTTTTTGTAAAATCTGATCTGTATTTAGACCCATGCCACCCAATTCTTATGTATTTACATATCTAAGATCTATTATTTTTTTTTACAATTTAATAAACAAAACCTTTTACATCATTTGATTTACTTCTATATATTATTTATTTATTACATAATTAATTCAAGCCAAAGAGAGTCGAACAAGATTGAGGAAAAATCTATTCTCGATTGGCTCATTTATAAATTGAGCTCAAAGAATATGTTCGTGTACGACTCTTTTGTTTATCGAACGAATCGAACACGAATTATTTAACAAGTTGAACATAAACTGTTCGCGAACCACGAGTTTTTTTAACACCCATAACAATAAGGAGATTAATGGATCAGTAACAAACAAAACAAAAAAAAACTAAATTTTAACTTGATGTGTACTCTCTCTCTCTCTTTCTTTCTCATGCTACCCTAAAATTTACTTTCTTTCTCGTTCAATATCGAGAATAAATAAAGGCTCCGCATAAGAGAAAAAAGAACAAAGAATCTCTCCATTAATTAATTCTACCTAAGCGTCAGAGCCGAAGAACGAAGTATATATATCAATATATGGGAGGATCGGTGGAAGACGAAGACTTTAGTTTATTTATTAGAAATGTCATCATATATTTAACTATGGGTTGATTTGGAACTCATCAGATGGATGCTAGGCTTTATTATTTAAAACATCCTCTTAAATATAATATTTACAAAACAAATAATAAATACTCATATATAATCATATTATATATATTTATATACCTGTAACGCTTAAATTGCACTGATTCTTAAATTTGCATGAATATCCATGTAATTATTTTTTAGGATTCTTATGTATTTATTCATCGATTACATAAACTTTGATGTTTAATTTATAACTACATATACTACTTTGGTGTCAAATTTATGCATGAAATGTTATATTTCACTTTTAAGGTGTTGGTAATAATACTTTTTATATTTGTAGGTTTGGGCATAGTGCAAGTAAAAAAAAATGTATTAGATATCTAAATACATAAGATCTGTGTTATACATTCCACTTTAAACTATACATGAAAAGATATGATGAATTTCACTATTAAAAATTAAAAAAATTATATTTTTGACGTGTTATTTCGTGTTGTAGATGTAAATAAAATTTAAGTATTAGATATGTAAATTTATAGAAATTTGATATATATAGCTATTGTTAAGAGTGATAAAAATCTTTAATATAAAATGAATGATTAGATAATAAGACACTATGAATTTAATTTAGATATAATTAACATAAAAAGATCATAAAATATAATCTTTGATATATATTGATTATAAGATTATTCTGATGAATATTAAGTCAGGATATTCAGATCTATATTACAAGTTGTTGGTTGATTGACATTATGTGATTCACTCATAAATTTAGAAGTTACGATCACACTTTATTTTAAAACATTATTACATGTATATCTAGCAAAAACTTGATCCTTTTATTTTAGTTTTTTGTTGATGTTGAGCTTTGTTTGGTAGATAGATCTTACTACATTTTATATTAATATTTTGTGAATATTACTGTAAGTTTTCTAATTTACATATTTCATTATCATTCAACCAACTACAATATTGGAAATATAAATTAAATCTTAATAATGGTATGAATTCTTTAATATTTAAGTGTTTTAACTTTTTTTCCTCCAATAATACAACCATTTGGAGTAATACCCTCGTTATATTTTTTTATTTTGACTGTTTTTTACAGCTTCTCCCCAAGCGGCGAGAGTTCATAGACAATGCAGAATCCAACCAATAAAAACTTTGCATTTATCCACTAAGATAAACTTATAGCTTTTGTATGATCATTGCTTACAGCCAACTGCATATCTTCTGATTAATTAATTTGATAAGAAGCTCTCATAAATTAAATCAAATTTGAAACGTTTAAGTTACAGAACAGGCAAAGCAAGTTTTTAACACAATTAGAAGAACTTTCTTCTGAATAAAACAACTAACCTTTTGCTCTTCGGATCATTGAACTGCCTTCTTATCCTTAACCTGCGGCTCTGAAAAAAATGCGCAGAAGTTTAGCCAACTAGCAGAGGAATTACAACAAATAGGTGAAAGGCAAAAGTGGTACTTGAAATCAGAGCCTTGGGACGTGTCTTGAAGATAATTCGATCACGAATTATTCCGATAACTTCCAATTCTACCCCCGAAGGATCAGCATAATCCGACTCGCACGCAGCTTCAACCTTCTTCTTCCTAAGCACTAGCAAAGGCTTCTTGAGAGCCACTTTCGTTCCCGAAAGCTCGTGGTAGCCGACTGTAAATGTGTAGTTTCCCTGTAGAGATGATCGGAGATAATCAGAAAATGATGAAGTCATCGAAATAGGATTGGGACGGAAGAGAGAGAGAGTACTTTGGAGACGCAGCAGAGGCGACCGATCTCGAGATTTTGGAGATTTTCACCGATGGATGGATGTGATTCCACCACACCCTGTAGCTCTATGATAGCCCATTCCCGGCATTCTTCCGCCCCGCAGCTGCACTTCAAGCGGATCTGCATCCTGCTACTATTTCAGCGACGGAGATTGAAGAGCAGCATAGAAGAAATGGCTTTTGCCAAGTTTTGAAGGCGGGAAAATTTTAGTGCTTTGCCGCCAAATTTAAACTTCGATTTTCATTTTTGTACATTTTTTTTCTAGGCGAATAATTTTAAGGTCATTTAGATGATAAAATATTACATCCGGACGTCACATGACACATCCGGATGACTAGCGGCCACGTTGTCATACATGTTATTGCGGGCGATATTGCCGTCAGTAATTGATCTTCTGGACGTTGCGAGCGATATTGTCGTCAGTGATTAGTCTACTGGACGTACAAACACCCGGACGGAATATTATTTCCATTTAGATTCATACCACTTAATTCTTATATTTTTACATATCTAACACATGATTTTTATTTATTACATTTATAGGAATTAAATCTTTCATTTTAGATTAGAAATATCACTATTTTAATTTTTTAAGTTATGAAACTTTTTTTTCGTGCAAAAATTATATCACACGTGCACTTGAGGGGAACTATCTTATGCTGCCCTAGGGTCATTGCCTGTCTCTTCAATTTTAATTTTTCTCTCAATAAAAATTTTTTTTTTCTTAAAATTTGCTCAGTCTTAATTTTAAACTTTGCGAATTTTCAATGAAAAAAGTCAAACTTAATTAGGTTTTTTTAATAGATTTATTAAGTAATTGAATTAAAATTTTATAATTTTTAAATATGTAAATACAGAGGAATTGTCATGTGTTGTCCGACGGACTGTTAGGGATATCGTAACTTCAAAATGAGAGAAATATTGAGTTCGATGGCCAATTGACTAGCGCTGGGCTGGAGCCACTTCAACTTGTATGTTGAACTGTCCTCTGACAGTTAGTCATAAATTTGACACAATATTTTGTCTCAAAATGAAGACAGGACAACTGCCAAAGACGAGTTGGGGGAGAAACTATTTGGTCCGAACACCGCATGTCTGGATGACTATTTGCTGGTCACCATGTCATCATACATCTCATCGACAAATAACATGGCAGTCCGTAATTAACTGTCCGAATAGAATATTTTTTATAGTCAGTGACATAGAAAATTATTACTTATGTAAATTAAAAAAAAATAAAAATTACAACCCCCATTAAATATATGTACTTAAGCTTAGCTAATATTTGCTGCCACCACACCCCATTTAACTATTTATATCAATTGTACAAAATCAATTTCCCTCATTATAAAATGTCAGCTCTTCTATCTCCCCGACTTCTCCCCACTATAAATAAGTGATCGCATTGTGATCTGACCAGAAGCGACTGACCAAATTCATCAAATCAAGTTAATGATAAAAGAGCTAGTACAAATTACATTGGTCGTGTAAATAAATTTACTAAATTTATATTTAAATCATAAAAGAGTCGGAGCACGAGAAAAAAAAAAAAATACGAAGAAAATTTTATTTAATATAACGTAAAATTTAATTTATATGTTTTTTTTAGGTGGATTTAATTTAAGTGGTGTTAAATCCTACCAATCATATGCTACAAACACCGACTTAAATTTCTAATTTAGTTTTGAGAGGAAAAAAACAACAGAAATAAGTGGTAAAGTAAAAATCATAAAAGAAGAAAAAGAGTGCATTAAATTTCTATTAAATTTTATTGCATTTATTGTCAAAGCGGCAAAAATAATCCTAACAAACAATCAGCAGAGAAAAATCACTAAAAATGCACTTAAATGAACACCAAACTTCTATCCTTTGGTTCCTTTCCAAATACTTTTGCCCCATTACCTTTTGAATCATCGCAAGGAGGCGGAAGATTAAGAACCAGATAAAATCTGTTGGAATTCTCATCTTTCTTCGTCAGCCCCAGTGCAATTGATTGGCGGTGCTTCCGCATATTGACAGCGACTTTATATATACTTAAAAATATAAGTAATTAATATTGCTGCTAAAAGATTTAATTCCTCAGCAATTGTACCAAAACTTAATAACATTTATAAATTCGATAAATATGGATGTATAAAATATTCAATAATTGTAAAATCACATTTATTAACGCAAGTATATGTATCGCTCAAGTAATATAGGGCTCTAATGGAGTCCTAGATATCGATCCCACAATGAGTAACATTAGAACTACGAACTAAGACTTTAGAAAAGCAATACTTTAATCACAACAATGAAATTTAATTTGCTTATCTGTCACTAATAAGTAATTGAAATAAATATGTAATTTTAATAACTATTAAATAACTAAATATACTAATGAATGTTCAAATGTGATATTCAATATATAAGAAAACATTCTTCTCCTTATCAAGAAATTATAGTGAACGTATAAAGTAAATGTAGAGCGGATGGATCTGGCTTTCATTTAATGAAGTTTTCAGATCTCTCTCTCTCTCACACACACACACACACACACACACACACACATATATATGGGATGGAGGGGAGGGGATGGGATGGGATGGGATGGGATGGGATGGATGGATGGATGGATGGATGGATGGATGGATGGATGGAGGGA